GGCATAAATTGTACCACAACCAAAATAAAGTCAGGCCCCTCAGGCAGGGCCAGGGTGTTGCCAGTCTTTGAGGTTTTCTCTGACCTCCCCCCTGGCAGAACCTCTGGATTATGGACCAGTATCTGGGGGAGATGGAAGCTGCCACTTACTGACAAGCCAGCTAGAATACCTCTTCCGCAACACTGAGTTGGGTGGGGAAATGGGTGTAGTCTCAAGCTCAGATCTTACAGCCTCCTACTAGTGAGTTCTGTAGATTTTGAATAAATTGTTCTCAATTTGTTGTAAATCCTTTTATCATTCGCCAGAGACTTTGAGTGATTATCTTTGTTAATTTTGACCAATAAGACAGATATTTCTCTGGAGATCTCCATTGAGCTTTTCACATTGCCATCCAGAAGTCCTCCTCATTTCAATTTTCAACTAACTGCAGAAGCTGGTGAGCAAGTTTGTGAATTTAACCTAGTCCACAAAGCTGATTATAAGTAGAAAAATGATTCATTTCTAATTTTTTAAGTTGAAATTAATGTCTAATTTAAAAAATTATCTACTATCTTCTCCCTCATTACTCCAGGTAACAGAAAGTTGCCTACAAATAGATACAAGGGGAAAGTACAGCATATAAAAAATTCAGTCTTATTCAATTTCATATGGGATTATTAACTCTGTTATTGTATCCAGGGCTGGAATACTCATAAATTCCCAGGATGTCAGCCTATTAAATAGGTGTTTATTCATTCATACTTTCAGCAGTTTTTCCAGAAATTCTCAGGCAACCTCTATTCACCAAAAAGATAAAGTATAGAAAACGTTCATTACCTCAGTAAGCTGTTACCTTCTGGAATAGTCTTCAATTGCACTTCTCTAAGTTATACTTTGAATACATATACTTCAAAGGTAGGAAAAAATTGTTTTTCCCTCTTTTGGGATTTTCAATGAAATTTTACAGATTTTCTATCATTTTATATGCCAAAGCTTTGAAAGGTAAGACATTAGAATCTAAATTTTATTGAAGAGGGAATCAAGGGGCAAAGTACTTACCGAGGTCATACAATTCATTAATGATAAACTTAGAACTAGAAGCAATGGAAGAACTCCTTGACATCCAGCCTTCAGCTCTGTGCACCAAATCTAGTTAGATAAGCTAATATTCTTCCTGGCAAGCTGAAAAAATTTGTTTTCCTGTTACATACTTAAAAGTAGACTTTAATTTACACATACTATTATGCTCCTTGGGAAGTTATCCTTTTCCGAGTATTATAAAAATAAAGCATTGATAATTCAGGTCAACAATATATTCTGTTAAAACACTGTTGCCCATTGTCTTAGTCAGATCAGGCTGCTATAACAAAAATAGCATAGACTGGGTGGTTTAAAAAAAATAGAAATTTATTTCTTACAATTCTAGAGGCTGGAAGTCTAAGATCAGGGTGCCAGCATGGGCAGGTTCTGGTGAGAGCCCTCTTTCAAGCTTGTAGACAGCTGCCTTCTTGCTGTATCCCCACAAGGTGAAGAGAAAGATCACATCTCTCTTGTCTCTTCTTATAAAGGCAATAATCTCATTCATGACGGCTCCACCCTCATGACCTAATTACCTCCCAAAGGCCCCACCTCCAATACCATCACACTGGGGGTTAGTGCTTCAACATATGAATTTTGGGGGAAACAAATGTTCAGTCCATAGCATCCATCTTTATTAGAAATAGAGGGCCGGCCCCGTGGCTTGGCGGTTGAGTGCGTGCTCTCCGCTGCCGGCGGCCCGGGTTCGGATCCCGGGTGCGCACCGGGGCACCACTCCTCCGGCCGTGCTGAGGCCGCGTCCCACATGCAGCAACTGGAAGGATGTGCAGCTATGACAGACAACTATGTACTGGGGCTTTGGGGGAAAAATAAATAAATAAAATCTTTAAAAAAAAAAAAAAAAGAAATAGAATTTTTTTACCTGACAAAAATAAAGGCTCTCTATATTAAAAACCTAATCATTCAAATGAAGTGAAAAGTAGTATCAATTGAAACCAGATTTTAAAAATATAATACAAATTTTAGAGAATAATTTTTCTTCTTTCTAGTAAACCATTTTGTGATGTAAGATGTATCTGATCTAAAGAGAGAATTTCTACTACGTTAATAAAAGTTACGTGAGGCACTATAGACTTATCCACTTTTCTTTCCAGATCGTCCCCAAGACCAAGAGAAAGAAGTTATGATAAAAAGGAAAATAAAATGTTAGAAATCTAATAGCAACTTTAGTATTGAACATTAAGCCAATATTTATAACACCAACAATTTTATACAAATACTGGGCAAAGAAAGTATTCTTTTTGTACAATTGGGATACTAAACCAAATTTTCTATTTCTTTTCTTTTCTAGACATCTTTTGCACTGAAGCAAAATAGCTATTCTTATTTAAATCTTGTTTTTCTTTGCCATGAAGATTCCTCAAAGAAAAGTTTTCAAATAACTAGATTTGGCTTATTTGTATAGTCATATATCTGCTCTTAAATGGGTTAAAAAATTGACCAAGAGAAGACTATGTGCAAAAAGGTATCCAGGAAATCATTATTGAACAAAAAGACAAACCTAAGGGAAAATTTTTTTCTCCTGGTACAAAACTTAAGTTTAGAAGTTTCTTCCATGATCTGAAGATTGTTAGGGGTTAAATTTCATGAAAAATAACCAAATCCCTTCTCATAACTGAAAGTTCTACATTATCTTAAGGACAAAAATATCATGTTCTTGAAAAACAAGATGGTAAGTTATCTGGAATACAAACTTAAAAACAAGAGAATTCTCTATAAATGAGAAAGGTCACCCATAGGGGAAGCTATCACATTTACTTCAAAGCAGCTAAAACTTCTTTTTTCCAGGTATATAGGCAACATTCCGTATCCTTAAATACTCCCTCCATTTTGAAACACTTTCTTCACCTGGCTTCCTGCACACCAGTCTCCTGACTTTTCTTCTAGTTCACTGGTGGGCCCTTCTCACTCTTTTGCTGGTTCCTCCTATTCTCCTCTACTTCTTAACGTTGGCATACCCCAGAGCTCAGTCCTTTTCCATCTTCTCTTTTCTAGCTGCACTAAGTTATCTCATTAAATGCCATGGCTATTCAGTAGTGACTCCCAAATCAATTTTGCCAGTCCCATCTTCTTCCCTGAATTCTAGATTTGGATTATCCAACTGTCTACTCAGCATCTCCAACCTACCATGGCCAAAATAGAACTCCTGATTCCACACTTCTTCATATCTGTTCCTCCTCCAGTATGCCTCATCTCTGCATCCCAGAATTCACCCAGCTGCTCAGTCAAAAACCTAGGAGTCATCCTTTACCCCTCTCTTTCCCTCTCCTTATATCCAAGCTATCAGCATATCCTATCTTCCCTCCCTTTAAAGTAGAGCCTGAATCCAATATCTAACCACCTCCTCATCAACCACACTAGTCTGACTCTTGCCTGGAACACTGTAATATCCTAACTGGTCTCTCTGTTTTCACCCTTAATCCTCTTCAGTCCAACTTGCATACTGCAGCTCCATACAGGAAAGTCAAATTATGTCACTCTTCTGCTCTCAATCCTTTTAATGGTTTCCCATTATATATCCAGACCAGGCTATAAGGACCTTCATGAACTACTCTCTGGCTTTCTCCCTTATTTCATTTCTTACCATTCTTCTCCCTTAATCACTATGTTGTAACCTTACTGGCCTCTCTGCTATTCCTCAAACATGCCAAGTAAGTTAACATTTTTAAGCCTTTTCACTTGCCTTTACCTCAGAATGCTTTAGCCCAGAATGCTCTTTCCCTAAACTTTCACTAGGCTCATACACTTATTCCATTAGGGCCTCTGTATGTCACCTTTTCAAATAGGCCTTCCCTAACCACCTTATCTAAAATAACAACCCTTTCAACATTCTGTCCCTATTCCTTGCTTTTTCTTTATAGCTCCTGATATTATGTATTTATTTACATTTTTATTGTCTTCTCCAGTGGGATGTAGTAAATTCCACAAAAGCAGGTACATTGTGTTGGTCACAGTTGTATAATAAGCACACAGAAGAATACCTGGCACAAAGTAAGCTCAAAAAAGTCTGAACACTATCCAATAATATAGTTGAGGGTTTGTTTTGCTTTAAAAGAAAAAAAAAAGAACCACAAGAATGTGCCCTTCAAAAATAAATGCAGCTTGATTTCTCTCAAATGATATGAATTTTATTAAAACGGGGTGGGGAGTTTTTCAGTAGCACTGAAGCAAAATTTTATAGTAAATTTTCAGCAGGATATTCTAGCTATTATAAAAATCTTAAAAAGCTTCAGAATTATCCCTGAAAATAAAGTTGCAGTTAGTTCATTTGGACCCAAACACTTAAAAATGGGATATATACATATACATACATGCACATACACAAAATAGAGCAATTTCATGAAATCAAACTGATATAAACAGGAATGTCTTGATTATCCCACAATCCTCTCCCCTTCCTTTTCTCATCAAATTGCTACCAATGAAGGCCCAGGAAGCTACCGACTACTTAGAGCCAGCTTTTAGAGTTAGAAATGTTGCATCCTGTTAACTTGGTGCTGGCACTGTTGTTCACAATAAGAAAAATGGCAATATCCACAAAGTTTCATAGAGGCAGCAGAGTATTTTGCATGAGTATGTCTATGGCTTAACCACCACTGTATATTACCTGCTCTCTTCCATCAATGCAGCTTATAGTCCACAAGAATGTGAAAAATCCCACCACAAAATAGATGTCTCTTTACGTATAATTTGGTGGAAGGCACAGCCTGATGACGAAGTCACTAGGAGGCTAAAGAATCTAGATCCTGAAAAATAGTTAGCCACACCGAGGCTCTCCTGAGCCATCGATGGAAGGCCAGTCCAAGCACTCTCTGAGGATGGCAGTCTGTTGGTGAAAAGAATATGGAAACTCAAGTTGGCCTTTCTAGCAACAAGGAAGGAATTTAGTCCCATGTGCTCAGTTTGTTTATGTCAACCTTCATTTAATGTTGATCATATGGTTTATGTTCTCTGATCAGGGGACAGAAGAACGATGAATACTACTTCTTATGAAAAGTTTCAAGCCTTGTAATCCCTCTGAAAATAAATAGTCCAAATACCAATTCCATTTCTTTCCCTGCAGGCACAAAAAAGGGAAAATTACTTATCAAATATTTACTATGCTTAGTCTCTATCTCTTCTTCTTTACCTAGGAAAAGTTCCCAGCATCCTGGATGCACATAGCAGGAGTTAGCTCAGAGAAGCCAGGTTCATAACCGGAACTCAGTCACTAAGTAACATTCAAACCAGAAAGTACTCAAAGTTTAAGGGCTAAACATTCCCCTTATTGGCAAAAAAATTTAGCTGTTCAACTTAATAAGTACTGTGAAATGAAAATGGGTCACCATTCCCACACTCCAGGAATTTAACATTTAAAATAGATAACGCAGAAGCAGACATTATTATATTACTGCCTGTATTAAATATGTACACAGCAGAGTTTCTATAATAATAGACCACTGCGCTCAGTTTTGTTAAATCAGCCTCATTACAGTCACACTCTGAATTCACGCAACTGTACTATAAAATGAGATAAACAGTCACAACAGCAAGAGTCAAACTATGAATAGTTATATCTTAGAGAAGACTGTAGAGGGTATGTGCCAATTAATTCACAGAAAGTCACGGGAATGAATTCAGAAGGCAAACACTTCACTTTGACTTTGTGGAGGCAGCAGACTTAAGATTTCGGAAAAAGTAAAGGTATATATTCTTTTGATGAAATGAAGCTGTATGAAATCCCTAAACATGATGAAAATAAATAAATAAATGTATTTACCCGAATAGAGCTCATGTTTACTGTCCTTTCTTCTGGCCATTCCTTAAAAAAACAAAAACAAAAACAGGAAGTCGGCAGATATGAGGATGGAAATATTTGGTTAGCAAAAAATAGCAGAAAATTAAGATAGCTCTTCATTGTCTGATTCATTTGCTACATTCTATTCCTACCACCACTCCTGGATTCCTTTTGAATCAACACCCACTATAACCTTCCATATTTCTCCCTAGAAGCACAAAGAGAAGGAAAATAAAATCATAGTGGATAACGTGAGCACCATTTTGCTAATTTATGGCTTCATTTTTTTTTATTCTGTACTCAGCTACTAGGGTGGAGATGGAAGATGTTCGAGAAGGCTTCTTCTGAGGAATATGATACCCGAATTGAGTCTTGAAGGATGAGGAGGAAATCTGATGAGGCAGTCTGTGTACATAGTAGATTCTATGAAACTCCATACTTTATGAAAACTCAGACCTAGGTGGGCCCATTTATCCCCTGGCTTTAACAATCACCTACTGCATTTCATTGAAAAGCCATCAATTCTAACAAACAACATTTTTTTATATATCACTAAGAAAAAACTCTGCCTATTAAACCATGTATCACACAATGTCTTTTTAACACTTAGAATTTTTTATTTTATAATGATTGAAAATTTTAGATGTAGACAGATTTTGATCATATATTACTTTTATAAACATGAAATGGTAAACATTAAGTAATGAAAGTATTTCTAAAACTTCACATCAGAGTATAACTCTTCTGAATTACATTTCTACTCAAGAGTTGCAGATATCTATGTTTTTTTCATACAATATCATCCACTGTGCCAGAGTGTTGATTACGCAGCATTTCTTAAAAGAACTAAAAATTCCTGGTGCTGGGGTCCCAATTATGTAAAGCTAACCTACTTATGGCTCATGCTTCAAGGAAAGTCTGTAACATGTATGGTTCACTGCTTCCTTCCCCTCTTTCTCCAAGTCATTTGGTTTTGGGGGCTTAAAACAGTGCTCCAACATTGTCTCCAATTTTTTTCCCCAAGCTGCTGCCATCCATTCAGCAAGGTCTGATTCTGGCAATTTGCCAGTGCACACTCAAAAACAGCAAACAACAACTAGCTCATGATTGCTGGCTGGCTGACAGAGATCACAAGATGCATCCTGATCTCTGAGAAGTTCAAAAGTGAAAAAAAAGTGTGTGTTTTGGAACTGAAAAATATAGTCCATGCTGATGAATTCCATATTTATTTCTCTAGTTCCAACCTCTCTCCTGAGCTCCAAGCCCCTATTTCAATCTGCCTACTTACACTTCTTGGATGTCTAACAGGCATCTCAAACTTAAGTAGTTCAAAACAGAACTCGATTCTCAAATTGCCCTCCCCAAAACCAAAAATAACCTCTCTTGTTCTTTCATCAGTATTTCTCTTATTAATAAATGGAACTACCATCAATCCAGTTGCTCAATACAAAAAACTCAAAAGTCCTTTTCTTTGTCTCATTCCCACTTCTAATCAAGCCATCATCAGGTCCTATCTGTTCTATCTCAAATCAGTTCACTTCTATCCACCTCCACTACCACCACTTGTATACAAATCACTATCAATATCTCTTGTCTAGACTTCAGCAATAACCTCCTAACTGTTGCCCCTGCTTCCACTCGGACCTCCTCTTATAACTACAACCTCCATAAAAAAGCCAGAGTAGGCTCTATGAAACATCAACCCAGACCATACTATAACCCTGCTTAAAAATCATTCGTTTCCCAATGCACTCCTAACAGATCTGTAAGATAGATGACCCTTGTATTATATCCAACCTTATTTCATTCCATTCTCCCTCTTGTTCCTTAAGCTCTAAGCCACACTGGCCTTTCTTTATTCCTTGAATCCCTTGAGCCATTGTACCATTCCCACTGCCTAGAGCGCTCTTCTTCCAGCTATCCCTAGGCTGGCTTATTCTTATCTTTTAGAAGAAATCTCAGATAAAACGTCACCTCCTCAAAAAGGCCTTCCTTGAACACTCACCCCTGACAACTCCCGTCACTCTCTCTCTCACCTCACCCTGTTTATGTCCTTCATAGCATTTCTCAAAATTTAAAATTATCATGTCTACTTATTTCATTACTTGTTTATTGTTTGTTCTCATTAGAATATAAACTCCGTTTGGGTAGAGATGGTATCTATCTTCTTAAGTACTATATTCCCAGTGCCAGAAGCATAGTGGACACCAAATAAATATTTGTTGAATAAATAAACAACTAGTTATTAGTTCAAAGATAATTTATGATAAGAAAATGTAGAGCTTTAGAATTTCCTGAAATGTAAGCTCTACAAATGTTCAAAATATTTCAACTCATTAAAGTGAGCTGAGCTCTTTGATACTGAGAACTGATTGGCCAAATTAAATTTACTAAATTATCACTAGAAGTCTGGCTAATCTGAAATATTTACAATGTGATAATTCAATAAAATAAAACTGTCAGAATTAAATCATACTACCATGGTATCAGAGGTTATTTTTACTATCTCAAGGGTAAGATACTTAGATAGTAAGTAGTTAGCTACTGACGAGGGCTCAAAAGGCATTCTTTTTTTATTTGTTTGTTTTTTGTTTGTGAGGAAGATCAGCCCTGAGCTAACATCCATGCTAATCCTCCTCTTTTTGCTGAGGAAGACTGGCTCTGAGCTAAC